GATGGGCTGCCTGTGGAGTTTTACAAAGCTTACTGGTTCTTCTTGGGAGAAGACTTGTTAGAGGTGTTAAGCAACAGCTTGAGTAAAGGAAAACTGCCTGTAAGTTGCAGGAGAGCAGTCTTAACACTACTCCCAAAGAAAGGTGACCTCAAGGAGGTTAAAAACTGGAGACCAGTGGCCTTGTTATGCACTGACTACAAGATTTTATCAAAAGCTTTGGCCAATAGACTAAGAGAAGTAATGGGACAGGTAATTCATATAGATCAATCTTATTGTGTGCCCAATAGATCAATAGTAGACAACATATCATTGATCAGAGATGTGATTGAAGTTTCTAAAATCTTTGGATTGAAGGTGGGTTTATTGACTCTAGACCAGGAAAAAGCATTTGACCGGGTCGAACATCAGTTTTTATGGAACACTTTTGAGGCCTTTGGATTCCCAATTGTTTTTATTGACATGATTAAGGTGTTATATAGTGATATTGGAAGTATACTGAAAATCAATGGTGGTTTGTCTGTTCCTTTTAAAATTAATAGAGGAATACGTCAGGGTTGTGCATTATCAGGGATGCTCTATTCAATAGCTTTAGAACCTTTGTTAAATAAAATAAGAAGAGAATTGGAAGGTTTTAAATGTGAAAATCTCTTTCCACCAGTAAAACTGTCAGCGTATGCTGATGATATAATGGTGCTATTTAATGGCCAAAATGATATAAATAAGTTAGTTGATATTGTGACTAATTATGGCAAGTTTTCATCTGCAAGAATTAATTGGGGGAAAAGTGCAGCTTGTCTTGTAGGACAATGGGAAAGAGAAATATTGTTTTTGCCAGGTGGAATGAGTTGGTCAAAGAATACATTAAAATATTTGGGCATTTACTTGGGGGATGAAGCAACTAATCAAAAAAATTGGGAAAATATATGTGATATTGTTGATGGAAGACTAGAAAGATGGAGATGGTTATTACCAAAAATGTCTTTTAGGGGGAGAGCCTTAATTATAAATAATTTAGTTGCATCCTCTTTATGGCATAAACTGTCTGTTTTAGAGCCACCTGCTGGAATTTTAGAAAAAATACAAGCCAAATTGATAGATTTTTTTTGGAATAAATTACATTGGGTACCTAGAGCTGTGCTATACCTTCCAAAAGAAGAAGGTGGACAAGGTATTATAGATTTGATGAGTAGAAAAGCAGCTTTTAGGCTACAATTTGTACAAAAGTTTCTATATAAATCAGATGTGGTTTGGACTAGCATAACGAGTTGTCTTTTAGGTAAAGTTGGTGGATGGGGTTTTGGAAAGAACCTTTTTTTGTTGGACTGTTCTAAATTTGATTTAAAGTGTATATCTCCTTTCTATGAGAGTGTTAGAAGAGCCTGGTGTTTAGTAAAGAATAAAAGAATGTTGTCTCATAACTCTTTATATTGGTTTTTAGAAGAACCACTAATAAATGGCGCACGCTTGGACCTTTGTGATGATAAAACACCTGGTTTAAAACAGTTGCTTTTTAATGCAAAAATGACAAAAATGAAGAACTTGATAGAAGTTGCGGGGGATAATCTGGACAATGCTGATGCAGTCGCTCAAAGACTGAATATAAGATCAACAAGAAAAGTTCATTTATTGCTCAAAAAACTAAGAGAGACATTGAGTCAAGAAGACTGGAACTTTTTATCATTACGAACAGTGCCAAATATAATGGATTCGTTTCCAAGTTTGGTCCTACAACAAAATCCTTCAGGAATGGAGAGTTTAAAGACTTCAAGAGACATTATTTTTGATTCAATGGGAGGCAAGATTCTGTATAAGATTTGTGTAAAAGTGATAAACAAAGAAAAATTACAATGTGTTGATACACCATGGAGAGAACATTTAAATGTTGATAGTGATGTTATGCCTGTTTGGAGTTCAGTTTACAAACCACCATTGACTAAAAATGTTGGAGATCTTCAGTGGAGGGTGTTAAAGGGTATTATTGCAGTCAATGCTTTTATCTCAATACTGAATCCAACTGTGCCTGACAAATGTCCTTTTTGTGATGAACGAGAGACAATTTTTCATTGTTTTATGCATTGTGAAAGACTGGGGTCTTTATTCAATTTATTGGAGGTTATTTTCCTTTCCGTTGATGAGATGTTTACAAAAACGATGTTTGTGTTTGGTTTTAAATATGGAAAGAAAGAAAAAGGAAAAGGGCGTCTGTTAAATTTTATATTAGGACAAGCAAAAATGGCCATATACATGAGTAGGAGGCACAAGATTTTGTATGAGACCAATCATAAAGTTGAACTGATTTTTAAAGGGCTTATCAGAGCAAGAATAAGGCATGATTTTAATTTTTATTTGTCAATGAACGAGTTGGACAAGTTTGAAGACATGTGGAGTGTAAAAAATATGTTGTGTTGGGTTGAAAATAATGTATTGATTTTTGAAGAAAATGTAGTGTGATTTTGAAATGTGTTTGTTTAAAGCAATGAAACATGTTGTAGTTTAAAATTTTTGTATTAAATAAAAGTGTATTCTCTCTCTCTCTCTTTCTCTCTCTCTCTCTCTCTCTCTCTCTCTCTCTCTCTCTCTCATACTCTTCATCTTCTTCTCACACTCTCTCTCTCACACAACAAACTTACAAAGATGGCACCTGGAGCCACAACACGCCACTGTGATTTCTGCAACAAAGAAATTGGCAGTGCCTCAAAAACATGCAAGTACTGTGGAAAGAAGGTTAAACAGAAGCGAAACGTTGAGGACCAAAAAAAAAAATTTGATGATCTGTGGGCTACCAAATTAAAAAAAGATGGCAATACATGCAAAATAATGAATTCTGTGGACTTACTAGTACGTTTTATTTAATTTATTTTTGTTTCATTAAAGTAACTTTTTTTGATAAAGACAACTCTTATTCAAAACATTTTGTTTTTCTCTTCTCAGCTCCATAAGTTGGAATTGCTTGGTGTGTCACCCATCCTTTTTATTTCTACACAACGAGGCCAGCACCGTACTACCAAAATATTTGCTAAAAACAAATACCTTCAGAGCCATCCCTCATTACAAGTGATGCAGAAACTTTATGAGGCTGTGATAAGAGGTATTTATTTTGTACATTTGCATTCACATTTTAAAAATCTGTTCTTACATTTATTCATTACAAGTTTTTGTATAGCACAGTTCACTGCACATACCATCAAAGACTCTTTTTAACACTATTCTCATAGGGTTTGAGTGTCTACATACATAGACAGCACATTGTTTTTTTTAAGTGGATATTTAAAATATTTTCAATGTTTTATATTTTGTTAGACATACAGTATCATCCTTGCAACTGTTTTTAACCGTCCAAAATAAGTGAGGGGGGAATTGTTTTTACTCTGATAGTCAGTGCAAGTAAAAAATATGTCATATATGCATTAAAAAACAGTACTTTCTCTAAAAGTACATCTTATCAAAATATGATACTTAGGTTTTATTCTAATTAGGTGCCAATAAGGCCAAATAGCAAAGAGACACTAAAAATTCAGAAAAAAAAAAAACACATTGGGCCTTAAGAGGCTGTAATGTTAAAGCAGAAAGTACCTGTTTAAATATTATGTTTATTACTTTTTGGGGTTCCATCACAAGTGTGTCAAAACAATGGTGATTGAACCAAAGTAGCAAAACTTGCCTTGAAGAGAAATGTTTGCAAAATCTGTTTAGAGGCTGGTGATGGGCCATAATGGTATCTACAGTGGCATCATCATCGAACCATAGAAACGTTGTGCAATTCGCTGTATTTTCATGTTTCAAGCTACAAATTTTTGAATCACATATGAACAAAAAACAGAGATATGATCTTTTAAAACTCTCATGTCCATATCAGAGCTGCAATATGTTAATTTTTACATCTATCTTGTGGATATTCCTCTGTGATTTAGTCATTAGTGACGGCATTATAGCGTTTAAGTGTCTGCTTTTATATTTATTGTTTTTTGGTTAGATTAAAATTTGCTGTTAATGAAAACAGCACTTCTGCTATTTATAGTTTGATTTTGCATTTTAATTCATACTGTCATTGCACTTAACCTGCAAATTAGAACAGGAAATGTATAAAAAGCATACATACACACACTCACAGTTAAAGTTACCATAGACACATCCATAAACTTCTCCTTTCTTGCTGTTCTTTCTCTGAAGGAATTCTGTTGAAGAGCAGAGCAGATATGTCTCTTGTCAGTTGGTAATGCTATATCTTATTGCACAACAATTGTCAGTTTTTTTGGCTTAAAGTTGAGAAATTACTTAGCCCATGACTTGGCGTTCAGCAAGAGATAATGATGTTTTGCCCACCAGTAAAGCGTTTCCCTAACGGTGTGATGGCATGTGAAAACAATTAATTAGTGACAGGTGTACTGAACTGTGGGAGAGGATTTGTAACAAAATTAAAAGAACATATTAAAAGAGAACATATAAAGAAAACTGACTGGTATGTTTTTAATTTTCTCTTTTCCAGTTTTGATGTTGTAATAAAATTACTCCCACATTTTGTAGAGAACTTTTGTAGCTGATCGAAAGTACAGAATAATGTACATTCAGACAGTGGTTAATGCAGAACAAAGCCAGACATGCTTATTAGCAAAGAGGAGCACTGTTGCATAAGGGCTGTGGTTGGATGTACACTGTTCTGAACAACCACAAAACTAGCACAAAACTAAACAAGTATAAGACAAATAGAAGTTAAGCAATAAGCTTTATTCTGTGAAAAGCCCAGTCTGTAGTTTCCTCGGGTAGGCCATCCTAAGGTAAATATCTGCAAAACAAAAGAAAAAAGTAACATGGAAGCAGTTCATTGAATTTCACGCAGAAGAAGGTCAGGGGTGTTTAGAGCTATTTCATCGGATATCGTTGTTTGTAAAACGAGATGCAAAGTGAATTCAGATTTTTGTTCTTTGGTAGTATTGTAGGTTCTAAAAACAAAGGGCTATCAAATTTCTGTTAATTATTGAAGATGAAAGACTGTTCTTTTTTTTTTTACCTATCTTCAGGGAACAACTCTGCCTCAGAGTCTGTGGACCCCACTTCCGTGAACCCCAGCTCTGTGTACGTGCACCCCACCTCTACCTCTTTGGACCCTAACGCTGTGTCTGTGCACCCCACATCCTCCTCTCTGGACCCTAACTCTGTCTCTGTGCACCCCACCTCCGCCTCTCTGGACCCTAACTCTGTCTCTGTGCACCCCACCTCCGCCTCTCTGGACCCTAACTCTGTCTCTGTGCACCCCACCTCCGCCTCTCTGGACCCTAACTCTGTCTCTGTGCACCCCACCTCCGCCTCTCTGGACCCTAACTCTGTCTCTGTGCACCCCACCTCCGCCTCTCTGGACCCTAACTCTGTCTCTGTGCACCCCACCTCCGCCTCTCTGGACCCTAACTCTGTCTCTGTGCACCCCACCTCCGCCTCTCTGGACCCTAACTCTGTCTCTGTGCACCCCACCTCCGCCTCTCTGGACCCTAACTCTGTGTCTGTGCACCCCACCTCCGCCTCTCTGGACCCTAACTCTGTCTCTGTGCACCCCACCTCCGCCTCTCTGGACCCTAACTCTGTCTCTGTGCACCCCACCTCCGCCTCTCTGGACCCTAACTCTGTCTCTGTGCACCCCACCTCCGCCTCTCTGGACCTCACCTCCGCCTCTCTGGATCCCACCCCCACCTCTCTGGACCCCACCTCTGTGTCTTTGAATCCCACCTCTGCCTCTCTGGGTCCCACCTCCACCTCTCTGGACCCCACTTCTGTGTTTGTGAACCTCACCTCAGTGTCTGTGAACCCCACCCCCACGTCCGTCTTCTTAGACCCCACCTCCATCAACCCAACCTCCGCCTCTGTTACATGCCAATTAAAAAAGAAAAGGAACCAAACACATAGTGGTAATTCTATTGTTTTACATTTTTTGTAATTTTTAAACTACACTGCACTTTTTAAAGCTTTGCGTCTTAAGATTAAGTTTATATTTAAGTAAATAATAATAATTTTAGAAAGGTTAACCCGTTTTGTTACTTTTTAAGTTTGTTGTAAATAATGTTTCTATTACATTACAGAATGCTCACATAAAAGCCAGGACGTGTACAATGGAGTGGTTGTGAGAGAGAGAGTTAGGGAGGTTGGTCAGAATAATGAAAAAGAATGGAAGAAAATTATTCCTCTTTAAAATTTACAAATGTGTTATGTTACACATTAATTATTACAGTAAAACAGTAAGTTAATAGTACAGTAAATTGCTCAACTATATTATTGTTAGTTGAAGAGAGTCAGTAACATAAATTAGGTTCTTTATGCTGTTTAACTTGAAAATGTAATGATGTAAATTAGGTCCTGATGCATTTTTTTCTGTGTGTTCTTTTAAGGGAAGAAAAGAATTTCTGTTTAGGTGGCAGCCCTGTGCATCCTGGTAAGTAGAGACATATTTAGTATTTAATGTAACCTTACTCTTCTCCTAAGAGAACAAAAAATTTGTTGATGTTTAAAGAATTATTGAATAAAATTAAATACTGGTCATTAATATAACATTAATAGTGTACAAGGTTTTCAAAAATTAAAAACAAACAAATTGTGTGTGTATGTATGTATATATATATATATATATTTAATAAATATATTTATTTATATACTTACATACATATATATATATATATATATATATATATATATATATATATATATATATATATATGTATATGTATGTATGTGTTATGTGTGTATATATATATATATATATATATATATATTTGTACCTTTTTCAACTTGTAATAAAGGCCCATTCTGTAAATTAGTTATTTTAAATTAGTTACAATTTATTTATTTAAATCGTAGGTCATCACTTTCAGCAAAACTGCCTAGTTCTCTGGTATATATGCGGCAGATGCCCATCCAGCTGCGACACAGCTCTGCAAGCTGCCCTTGCTTGTTATCATTGTCATACAAAATTAATTTATTTCTTTTTTATGTTTTTATTTATTTATTAACATTACTTATATGTATCCATGTATCTAATTTATCTGTACTATTGCAAATATCAATGAAATACTAATTCTAGTTCCTAATTCATATACATAATATATTACTGTACATATAAAAAATTACATATAAAAATAGTGACAACAAAGTTTTTACCAGATACTGTAGCTTGCAATCTCATACAAAAAAGTGATGTTTTGCAAGCCATTGCAGCATATGTAATGTTGTTTAAATTTCAAGCAAAGTTAACAGTTAATTTTACTGTAGTACAAGAATTTATTTAAGTATAAACAGATTAACAGCGCTGTACAAAATCATATTTGAGTATTTTACTTATTTGACTGACAGAATTATAGTTATATAGAACCAATTAGATAAAAAAGGTTTTGTGTGTCTGGATAAAATTTTGATGCTTTACACACACACACACACACACACACACACACACACACACACACACAGACACAGACTCACACACACACACACACACACACACACACACACAGACACAGACTCACACACACACACACACACACACACACACACACACACACACACACACACACACACACACACACACACACACACACACACACACACACACACACACACACACTTTTCCAAAAAGGAAAATAAATAGTGTTAAAAAAATGCTGTCTGTATTTTTTCGTTCATAGCGGCAAGAAGTGGAGGAGCACATGGGTGTCTGAGGATGCTGTACAGTAGTGGTGAGTATCAAATTATTTGTTTGTTTAAATTTATACATATTTTACATGTCAGCACATCCAAGGGAATAAAGTATGTGTACTAATTGTGCTTCTATGAATTTGTTTCAACAGATAATTTTACTTGAAAAGAAGATGCAAATTACAAGCAAATAAAGTGCTATATTGCAAAGTAGTGTGTTGTTGTTTTTGAGTTTAACATGAGATTATTTATTAATTTTACAAACAATGACATTATTTTATGACTGATTTGTAAAGCAAGTAAAAATTATTTGACACCCTGATGCAGTTACATTTTTGTACACAATATGCTGTGGCAAATACAGTGCATATGGCAAATTTCCGTAACTTGAATTGAATGCAGGGATGTTCATTACAGGACTGTAAAGTGTCATGTACCTATACACCTTTTGCACAACTGTCTATCAATATGTAGGCTTACAGAAAATGACCAATATGGTTCCTTTATTATGTTGCAAATTCCCACACAATACGTTCATCTATAACTTGTGAAACAACAAGATTAGATTAGATTAGATTAGATTAGATTAGGTTAAACTTTATTGTAATTGCACATGTACAAGTACAAGTCAACGAAATTCAGTTTTGATCTAGCCAGCAGTAAAATAGCAGCGAGTGCAGGAAACAGGTTTAAGTTATAGGTAAGGTAAGGATATTAAACAAATTATTTCTTTAATATCCATTCATTTTCTTTTCGGCTTAGTCCCTTTATTAATCAGGAGTCGCCACAGCGGAATGAACTGTCAACTTATTCAGCATGTGTTTTACACTGTGGATGCCCTTCCTGCTGCAACCCATCACTGGGAAACATTCACATACACTCATACACTACAGACAATTTTATTGCTAGTTTTGGACTGTGGAGGAAACCCATGCCAACACAGGGAGAACATGCAAACTCCCCGCAGAAACGCCAACCAACCCAGCCGAGGCTTGAACCTGTGACCTTCTTGCTGTGAGGCGGCAGCACTACCTACTGTGCCAACACGTCGCCTCTTTCATAATGTGATTATTTGTTTTTCATTAAGTTTTTGTCCTGTCATGATAGTATTTCTCCATTTTTTGAATGAAAGATACATTGCCTTTTGTAAGATTCCAAGGTGTGTCATGCTTTTAGTTTCTGGACATAAATAATAATAATTATTATTATTTAATTACAATGTTTTTCTTGATTACATGAATTGTAAACAATTCTGTCACATTTTAAATCTAAAACTAAACAAAGATTTAGTAATATATATTTGATAGGATTAATGACAACTATTTCATATTTTGTATCAAATTGTTTGATACATCCTTTCATACATGGATTATGGAAAACATTTAGATGGTGATATGATGGTAATTTTGAAATTGACAAAATAAAAAATAAAAATGATTTAAAATTTGATTTAACTGTCCACATATGTGAACACCATGCAACAAATAAGTAAAATGTTAATGTGGAGTTTTGGAATTTTATGAGTTTTTTATGACATGTTATGCTGTCTATTACAGCTGAAATAATAGCAATGGTATTACAATATAATAAAAAAAAAACATAATGTAGTCACAATACCAGTAACACATATCCATAAGGCACAATCATGGAAAACATTAACTGTTGGTAGCAACTTAATGATTTCATCTTTATCCTACTTCATTTGAATCATCTTAGTAATAAGCATCTGAAATGTAATGCACTCAAAAAAATTGTTACTTGTTTAAACTATGTAATTAAAATGAACTGAAACAACACAACTCTTGAGATTTCATGGGCACAACTTAATCCAGATGAATTTGTTATTAGTGATAAGCTAACTTAATTAATTTGTGCTGGGACAACATGAATTGTGTGGAACCCTGCTTTTTTACAGTGCATGACATAGTATTGGGTAAAACTGATGTCTCTACAGCATGAAATTTATGTGTGTGTGTGTTAACAGTAAAAAAATGGTGATATACTTATTAAATGTCTGTTTTATTACAATATAAGACAAACCATAACATATTTGGGGGAAACGGAATAGTAAAACAGGTTACTGAAATTTAACTTTCAATGAAACTGACTCAACTGTTGCATGATGGTTTTGGTTAATGCATTTTTAATCAAATCTTTAGTTTATGAAACATAAACATAATGATAATAAAACACATTTTCATGGATATGCATGGAGCATTTACATGGCTGTTGTGAACCATACAAAAAATAGACACTGTAACTATATTGCTGGCACTCTACTGAAAATGCCCTAAGGTGTTTGGAAAAAAAAAAAAACTAATGAACCTTAAATTAAGAAACCTTAAATTTAACTGTCCACAAATGGGGATACCATGCATAAAGGATTACAATGCAATAAAATAAGTTGTATCATGACAATAATGCTGCCTCTGATTATTAGTGACTATACTCTGTAGTTTTACTATATATATATATTACATTACATCAGATAGACTCACAAAGTCATCCAAATCAAGCATAATAATGAGAAAATATAAATGTGGGCATTTTTCTTGTACATGGTAATGACTAGGAATACTGTCCCTCTAAATGCTAGAGGACAAACAGAGTCATCTGGAAAAGAAAAAAACAATACACGTTTTAAATGACTGTTTATCATATTCTGATTCTTTCTGATTCTTTTCTTAATATATAACTAACAGGACAACTGGATATACTATGATTGCAAAGTAATGTTGGATACAGTTTTCTGACATAAGGGGTATAGGCCTATATGTTTTTTTAAGTGTGCACAGTAAAATAAAATAAATCAGGCTGTCTCTCAAATATAAACCAAATCTTTGCCCAATGAGCTTATTTGGATAAAGACAACTTTAATAGAGATGACATTTATAGCGTTTAATCCGTAAACTTTTAAAACTACATTACCCATAAGCCCCTGTCCATCTAAGACAAGAAAGGGAAATCATGGCGCTAATATTTGTAGTTCCCCTTCGGTTGGGGAACTTCAGTGCCATGAATGGGAGGATTCGGATCAGAAGCCGCTTATCTGGAGAGTATTGAACGGGCCAATGAATGAAATTAATTGGCAGCGTAAGCTTGCGCAGGTGTGCGACATCTGCAATTATCTCAGCATATAAGCACACCTGAAGCCAGCAGACGCCATCCTTTTCGCTTCAGATCCTTTCTGAGTGAGTCGATGAGGGTTCCTCTTGCTGATCAACACTTCAGAGCGAACGAGTGTGTCTCCCGGTCCAGAGTGGGTCTTCGCGGTGGCAGACGGTCGAGCTGGGTTACTCCCTTGCCTGCGGTTCTTTGGGTCCGGTCCTCCAGAGCGGTGCGTATAGTTGCAACTTTCCTAAAAGAGCAACACAGTCGTGCAGCACGTCCTTTTCAGGATGGCGCTCCGACTGTGCGTTTCTGGATGCGGGGGTTTCCTGTCTCCGGATGATGGACACGATCACTGCATTGCATGTTTGGGGGTCCAGCATGTTAATGCGGTGCTCGCGGGCGGTTCATGTCGTCATTGCGATGCCATGACCGTTGCACAGCTAAGATCGCGGCTAACTTTCGCAAGAGAGCGAGCCACCCCAGTTGCCTCCTGTTCTAAAAAAGCAGCGGGCGCTCGGGCAGATCTGAGGGTTTCAGCGGGAGCTAATCCGCCGCCCACGGGCTCGCGGACCTCTCGCTCCTCACGGCGCTCCATCCAAGCTTCGGGTGGTGAGAGTGATCCGTCTAACCAGATGGTAGCTCTCACACTCGCTGACACCGGAGATCAGATGTCCTCCGCGGCATCGGAGGGTGGGCTTTCACTGTCCGACGAAGATCCGGACCCGCTCGCCCCCTCCGGGCAGGTGAGCGCTGTCAAATCGGATCCTGAAGCGGACATGTTAGCCGTGCTTTCCCGGGCTGCTTCGGCCGTGGGGTTGGAGATGGTTTATCCCCCAGCTCCGCGGCCGGACCGACTAGATGGGTGCTACGTAGAGGACCAGAAGGCGAAGCCTTCGAAGCCTCTCGTCCCCTTCTTCCCGGAAGTGCACAGTAGGCTCACGCAGTCCTGGAGGGCACCTTTCTCTGCCCGTGCTGCGAGTGCCTCCGCCCTCACCGCCCTTGACGGCGGAGCTGCCAGGGGGTATGAGGCGATCCCGTCAGTGGAGCGCGCTATCGCGGTCAATCTTTGTCCGCGCGGCGCCTCTACGTGGCGGGGTTTGCCCCGCCTCCCGTCCAAAGCCTGTAGGTTGTCTGCCTCCCTCGGAGCCAGAGTTTATAAGGCTGCGGGCCAGGCTGCTTCTGCTTTGCACGCGATGGCCACCTACCAGCGCTACCAAGCGCAGGCGCTGGCCGAGCTGCACGAGGGCGGGTCCAACCCAAGCTTATTACATGAGCTGCGCACCGCGACCGACTATGCTCTTCGGACTACTAAGTCCGCCGCGTGTGCGCTGGGGAGGACGATGTCCACACTTGTGGTTCAGGAACGCCACCTCTGACTAAACCTGGCCGATATGCGCGACGTTGACAAAGTTCGCTTTCTTGACTCGCCCATATCCCAGGCTGGCCTGTTCGGCGACACCGTCGGTGAATTCACCCAGGAATTCAAGGCGGTGAAAGAGCAGTCGGATGCGATGGGCAATGTCATCTATCGGCGTGGCCGTAAGCCCGGTCCGCCCGCCGAGCCATCCACCTCCGCTGTTCCTCGCCGAGGGCGCCCGCCAACGAGTGCTGCCCCGCCCCCGCCTGCGCCTCCGGCCAAGCGGGCGCGGCGTTCACCTCGAAAGCAGGCAGCCCCTCCTGCCCAGGGCGCCGTTAAGTCCGGTAAACGGACCGCGAAGCGTCCCTGAGACAGGCCATCCGGAGAAGAGGAAACTTGCTCTTTCCCCGCTGGAGGGCGGGGCCCCGATAACAACGGTACTTTTCAGTGCCACCAAAACATCAGTAAAAGAGCACTTTTTCCCTTCCCCGGATGTGACTGCACGAGTTCTGCCAGTCCGGGACGCGCTGCCTTCCGGCTCGCAGACTCTACGTGCTTCGCCAGTGGCTCACGAGC